TAAAAGAATCTAGTGGTTTGTCCCACTGTCATTCCAATTGCAGATTGATGTTCATAACATCAATTGGCTGATCGTCTTGTACAGACTTGATTGTTTACAAACATGTCATTTAGCTTGAATATAGCCGAGTGAATTGTTAACTGATAATTTGATAAAAAGATGATGTTACAGCATCCTCACATCCATTTGTATTCAGTAGTTGAAATAGACTCATCCAATTTGAAATAATTTTGTTTGACTACAGACATTAACCACTGCCACTGTCTGTAATTTCATCTGTTATCATTGATACCTCGATATTCATATACAGGGTGCCGTTTCGCTATTTACAACCTGCACTGGTGCATGTTAACAATGGCTGGTGCAGGTTACCTTCAGTAACAAATCGCACCTGGTGCAGGTAACATAATCCACCAGCATTTTATAGCTGTCACCGTGTGTTTTAATTGGGAAGTAAGTGACTGGAAGTATGTAATACGTTTCTCACCGCTTGACTTGTTACAGCATGAACATTTGTGTAAATTACTTAAGTAGCAGTAATCATATAATTGAGATTTATGATTAAAGGTAATGCAAAGTCGAATCATTTATCACTAATCATCATGGGTCAGGTTCTGTTGAATGTATCTGATACTGAGTACTTGTTATGAAAATTGCCAAACAAATATTTACGTTACTTTTTAGAAGTGACATTAACTTATGGTGCAACCAAAATTTTGATGGTGCAGCCAAACCTACAAGCCATGTTGCACTCGGTGCAGGTACTGAAAAAAACCCAACCAAAATCATGCCCTGATATAGCAGTACCTGTTAACAGAATGCCTGCTACCCTCTCTGTGATCAAGGAAGACTTGTAAGTTCTCAAAGGCCTTGCTTCAATCTTGTCTAATCTGAGTGTAAGATGACATAGATACTGATCATCCCCAGAGATTCCAGTTCAGAGATCAGGCATTAAGTTCCCCTGTCTGACTCAAGCTCTGCATGTTAAATCAAATTATCTGTGGTGTATCAGACATTGGCAAGTCTACAGCCAGTCAGCTATAAGGAAATATAAAGTTCATTTCTATATTAAACAACTTTGAAGAGGAAGTATTTCCTTGTTGTAATCATTAGTGAGAAAGCTGCGTCCATGGTGTGCACTTGTGGAAGGGATGCTTCTCTGCAGAAGAGGGAGATCACGGGCTTGTGTCGGAACTATAAGAGCCTAGTGTAGCGAGGGGATTGGTGGACTGTTATGATTGTAGGGTTAAAGGTTTGTTAAACTTTCAGTATACAGACAATCCCATGGAGGAAGTAAATGATTTATACAATATTGTATACAATTTGCATTTAGCATGTAAGGCTTTTATCACAAGTCTATTCAAATGTTTTTCAGAACTAGTTTTATCTTATGTAAATATTTTGTTGAAATTTTCAACATTATTTGACTTTTTTTGTGGTCCTGCACTGAAAATATCATTTCCTCTCAATTAATTAGTTTATACTGAGTACCAATAATTAAGTCATTAGAGTACAGTGTATAACAAGGAAGATGGGATAAGTTCTTGCTGAAGGATTTCAAAACAGGCACAGTGGATTTTGTGTGATTTTGGTTTGATAAGATCTTCTGCCATCTAGGTGGATTGTTCTTAAAGACATGAAGCTACTTAACCAGGTAAGCATGGTATCATTGTTCTTATAATAAAACTAGCCAAGATCAACAGATGGAAATAATCCTGAGAATAATGTTTCTGAAAATATGGAACACGAACAGGTTTTCCTTGTATTGAAGCTGAATTCATTTCCTGTTTATTCTGAAGTGTTCAGTCACTATGTATTGGGAAATGTGTATATTGAATAAGGCTCTGTAAATAGACACCCTGCCTTAATGACTATCTCTGTCACAGTACACACGCACATGCACACACATACACACACATTCTCTCTCTTTTTATTTTACTTTTTTTCTCTCACACAGACAGACAGACAGAGCACTGCCCAAATAATGCAGTTTCATGTATGCCTTATGGGGCGGTGGGGTAGCCTAGTGGTTAAAGCGTTGGCTCGTCACGCCGAAGACCCGGGTTCGATTCCCCACATTGGCACAATGTGTTAAGCCCATTTCTGGTGTCCCCCGCCGTGATATTGCTGGAATATTGCTAAAAGCGGCGTAAAACTAAAACTCAGTCAGTCAGTATGCCTTATGCCTTTTTGAGAACTTATCAGCTTTTTCTGTTTTGAGTAATACTGGTATTTTCCATATCACATAGCAGGAAATGCAAGTGGGAAAGGTTTAAACTTTCCATCATTATGATAGTCCCCAAGGTTGATTGCTACTTTGTTTGGCTTTTTGCCAGTTGAAATAAGTGATAGCCTTCTTTTTGCTGAAAGTCTGTAGCTCAGTTTCCCTCTTTTTGTACATGTATATAGGGTAGTTTAATAGTGACATTTTAAGAGGGTTAATTCGTTTTTAGTGCTGTGAAAACCATGATTTATGATCGGATCATCTAAGCCATCAAATAAATCATTCAGTTTCAGGACTAAACCAGCAGGAACATTGCCGACTGTTTCAGTAACATTCTCTCTGTCCACAGATCTTATATGTAGTAGAAGTTGGATAATGTTTTGACTTTTTTTTCTCCAAGTACTTCGTAGTAAGTAGTAAATAAATGTTATCAGGAAGAAAACTATCCCAGAACTGAAGACAAAAATTCAAATGGCTGGGCTCGATTTAAGGGAATGAATCTTACTTGCACCCAGTGCAACCTATTGCAATCACCTTGTTGCACCAAACAAAAACAGGTTGCACATGCTGCTCAATATAAAATCTTATATAATGCTTGAGTTTTGGTATTGACGGTTTAGAACATTATTATAACAAAAGAAATGTGGGTCTGATAAGATTACTTATGTTACCTGCTAAACTTTCATGAACATCAAAGTCCTTCAGTCACTGTTCATGCAGTAATCAGAGTCACTGTTCCAAGTCACTTTCTTATCATTCTGTTTTCCAGCTGAAGTCTGTGTACTTTGAACACAAAATATTAACATGCACTGGGTGCAGGTTGATATACATAAGAGGTTGCATTTAGCAGTTTCAGGTTGCACCAGTGCAAGTTCTAAATGCTTAAATTGAACCCTGATTGGGTATTTTAAGACATTTCCTCTGCTACCTACTTTTCATCCTCGATAATCTCCATGGTATATTTGATAAATCTCCACTAAGTAGATATTTATTGAAACGTGTACCCTGGAGATTAACAAGGATGCCTACTTTTTACCTTTTGACTTTTTGCTTAATTTCGACACAGTACTGTTAAGTTAATACATTGTACACCATACACCATACTTGTACTGGAGTCCAGTGTTTAGCTGGACCATGTGGAAACTCAGTGGGTTCCTGTTCAGCTTGGTCATGTACTGGTTCCAAGCTGTCTCCTTATACAAATTGACCTTATTGTCCTTATGTAATGTCTTGGAGGAAACATGTCCTAGAACAACGTCACAAGATAAACATCCGGGTCTGCATGTAACAACAGACTTGACCTTCCTGTGGTAATATAAGATATATTTCTTGGTGCAGAGGAAGTTCAATGTTGTATTTGTATTCTTTCTTAAACAGTAGAAGCCCTTGTTTCAGTGTGTGGAGTTATGTCTCTTGGTTGAAGCAGGATTGAATGACAGTGGATCTTGAATCTGAGATTTGACTGATCATCATCCTAGACCTGTTTAACCATGTGTATGATCATGGGATTAACCATTCCTGAGAAAACCTGTGTCACTTCGGGTATGCTTTCCATGATTTAAACCATTGGAACTTTTAACCCCAAACGTTGGCGACCTGCATGATTTCTTCCCACATGATGGCGTGGTTTAACTGGAATACTATTTAACGTGATGTTAAACCCAACTCACTCACTCATAGTAAAGCTTGCTCTTAGTTAGCCTAGTGGTTAAAGTGTCTGCTTGTCACACTGAAGACCTGGGTTCAATTCCCCACATGGGCACCATGTGTGGAGCTCATTTTCTGGTGTCCCCCGCCATGATATTGCTTGATATTGCTAAAAGTGGTGCAAAACCATACTCATTCACTCACTCACTTAGTTATGTTTCTGAAGTACAGTTTGAAGCAGTTTTAAACCAAACTCTCTCACTTAAGTGAGATGGATACAGTTATCTTATGATGTGATAATCTCCTACAGAATGGATAAAGTCTGAGAACTTTACAATCCGATGCCACCTGTCACTTTAGAAATACTCATTGGTATTGATGATTATTATTTTGTAGATTTGTACAGCACAACTTCACGTATCACTTCCAGCATGCTTTGCCATAATAGGTGAAAAAATAGTCTTTATAGATCATCCCTGTGGGGAGCTTGTCATAGGTACCAGATTCTCGGAGAATTGGGTTATCACAGTGTGGTTCATTACTCTGTACCCAGTGAGTAGGAGTAGCCTAGTGGTTAAACCATTTGCTCGTCAGCGCCGAAGACACGGGTTTGATTCCCCACATGGGTACAATGTGTGAAGCCCATTTCTGGTGTCCCCAGCCGTGATATTGCTGGAATATTGCTAAAAGCCACGTAAAACTTAACTCACTCATTCACTGTACCCAGTGACATGGATCATGAACATGACTTAAAACGGACCATGATCCAGCTGGAATATTGTTGACTGCTTCACTAACATTTTCTCTGTCCACAATTCCAAGATGTAAGAGTTGGCTAATGTCTGAATGAATGTTTCACTGGTTGCCCAGGTAACTGAGGTTTACCAGGAACCAATGATTATTGTCTCCGTACCAGATTCACTCTACTTCAGGTTCTAGGTATCTCAGCATCAAACCTGCTGTTGGGCTCCACCAATGTTTTAAACATCAGAAACCTGAATCACTTACAGTGTCTCCCTTACAATACTGACATGCTGTGATCTGACAGAAATACTGTTAAACCGAACTGACTCACTCACTTCATGGTCTCCTGTTGATTCTGTGACTTACTGTGTATTCTGTGTTTCAGGATCAGTATGACAACGTTTCGCTGCACACGTTGAAAGGAATAGAGTTCTGTGAGAAGTATACTCACTTCTTGAAGGAAAGATGTAATGTGGAAATGGAATATGCGAGAAACCTCAAGTAAGTACTGCCTTTTTTTGCAGACATTGACTAGACTAGACTAGACTCAGGTTTATTTTCAGCCTTGTGGTATCATCCTAGTCTCTCATACAGACCCTGAAGCAAATATATCCAAGAAATCCCACGCAAGTCTAGAAAATGTGGAAAGTCTACATTTCCACAGCTTGTCTCAGGGCTCCTTTTCATTATATTTTATTTTTTTCACTATGAGCTTTTTTTCTGTAAAATATGTTCATTTCAGAGACTAGTTGTTAGTCTTGTATCATCCCTTATTATTAATCTATTAACCATGAACAATTTTAGGCCTAACCTAAACACTGTCATCAGCCAGAAGCAATTCGCTCACCTTCCTGGGGCAAGGGAGTTCACCGATTTTAAAATACCTGTATCTATCTAACTGGAATTTGTGGTTTGATCGTAGCGCCAGTGGATATTATGAGTTATGTCCTTCCTACTGGCCAATCAGATTTCACCTCATATGTTACCTGTCCTTGCTTCATACAAGATATCAAGACCTACATTGTAATGAAATGAGACTCACCCCACGAGGTTCATCAAATTACTTCAGCACCTTCATTAAAGACATGGAACTGTCTGGAAAACATCTGTCGGCACCATGACATTAGTATGACAGTACACACATGTGCAAATCCTGCCAGAGCTACAGATAACATTTTGGGTCATTGAGTTATGTACTCGCTTGTGCTCATCTCAATTGGGTATCCTAATTTTCCTTTGAGTAACCAAATAAATTGTACCCTCCTCATTCAAACTCAATTGGGTATTTCGTCATTTTCCATTAATTGTAAAAATATAATGACGTTTAAATGTTATTTATATTGGATCTGTAATATGAGAAACTATAAGAAAGACTGCATGTTGCCTAGTTCATGTGTTGAAATAGAACCTCTCAATGTACCTCAGTTATTTTATCTATGCACCTGTACGCAAACAAAGATTTGACATTTTTGTGTGTACACATGCAAGATCAAATATATTGAGTATTTACAAAAAATCAAGCGTACTTGTACGCAACAGGCTTGGTAAGAATTGAGTTTTCACATAAATGTTTGCGTAATTTACGCAGATACGCAGCTTATCTGTACCTCTGCCTGCAATCAGTTGAAAGCTGCATGCTAGTTGATGAACTGGATGTCAGTTTCCCTATCCAATTTTGATTGGACTATACATAGATTTATTAGTTCAGCCAAAACATAACTCTAAAATTTCAGCCTAATTCGGCAAGGGTGGAAACTGAACTTTGATAGTCCATTGTGTCCATTGACTTGAAAATGCAGTTCGCAGTGCAGTGTCATACTCTGAGCATGATAGAAACCTGTGATTGTTGGTTTCACCCTCAGTTCACCGTGATTATGTTACTGGGTTTGTCAGCATCAAACTGGTGCTCATTGGTTTCACCAAAGTCCTAAATGTCTGATACCTGCATCAAGTCCCACTCTCCCACATCAAACTGACATGACTGGACTTAATTGGAATACTGTGCCAGTATTAACTGGAATACTGTTCATAGGGGCGTGAACCCAACCCACTCCTTCACTCACTCAAGGCAATTTGTCAGGGACATTTTACTTTGTTTCTCATGCTCAGAAATGTTCTCGTCCTTTGTCATGATTATCACTCTCACTCACTCACTCACTCACTCACTCACTCACTCACTCACTCACTCACTCACTCACTCACTCACTCACTCACTCACTCACTCACTTTCACTCACTCACTCACTCGCTTTCGACTGCCTCCGTGGTGTAGTGGTTAGAGCGTCCCCGCCCAGAGCGAGCCGGAAAGTCACGGGTTCTATCCCCGACCGCGTCATACCAAAAGGCGTTAAAATATGGTACTTGTTGGTCCCTGCCTGGCGCTCAGCATTAATGGGTACAACATGGACTGGTCGGCTCGGAGTCAGTATAATGTGTCTGAGTGGGGTATTCATGCTTCACTGCGGCATGGTATCTCAGTGGGCTAGCACTATAAAACCAGCTTCAGTCTGGGCTAGTACAAGCAGCCGCACATACACATACACACGCATGCACGTCATATGAGCTCAAATATTCTCAAGCACGACGTTAAACCCCATATCACATCACCTCACTCATTCACTCACTCACTCAAAGTGATAGTGTAGTTCCCCACACTCTTTGGTAAAGCTAAGGATGGCTGCCATCAGCCTTTGTTTCTCAACTGACCTAACACAAATCTAGATCAAGTGTCACAAATCAGGCCAGTACTGTGTGCAACCATGTAGCTGTGTTTTAGCTGATAACTTTGACAAATATTGATGTATTTCTATCAAATTCATCTAGCAGACGTCATATTTAAACTCTGGTCAAGTTCAATAGTCACCCAAATTGGTCAATATTGAGGTCACACATTACACACATGACTGAGGCTAAAACAGATATGATACTTGATGCTTGATGTTAGCTTTGACAAGACCAGTGTCAGGGAAACTCCTATCCTCTATTGCAATGTATAAAGATGGGTAAAGTACGAGGCTGCCAAGTCTGTAAATACGATCAGGGGTTCAAAAATCCCACCACCCGATGCCCGGGACAAGTCAGTTTTCATTTCGGCAATCAAATAATGGTATCTTACTTGTCTGTGGGCTACTAGATAATTTCCTCTTATGGTTTCAAACTGCAAATAAACTTGGATTTAATTTCATATCTGCTCAAAATGTAGCTATTAAATTTTGCAATGATAATAAGGTAGAGTTGTCTTTCTTTGCTATTTCCACTTTTCAATAAATAGTCCTGTAAACATTAAGTTGTGTTAACATCAAATACCATGTTGATTTATTCTTTCATAATTACATGATCATGATTATGTCGTAAAATCAGGGCAAGTCGAAAATTAGTCAGGACAAGTTACTTTCTTAAAGTCACTTGCACTGTGGCAAGAGGCTTTTTAAAAAACATTTGAACCCCTGACGATGATGTTGTCGTTGTTATGATGGCTTTAATATCTCATCACTCACACCAAATTTGTAAGTCCTATAAAATGTTTGGTGCTCATGGTTAGATATTGTACACATCTTGTTGTAAACATATATTTGTTTTAAAGTGTTAGATGATGTCTTGCATGTGTACGTTCATGTTATATGGAACAGGGTTAACTAATTTAGTGTAACTAATTTGCAATTTGGTGTAATAGTTACAATTATGAGCCCAGGAATGTGCGATTGCTCTTTTACATCTCTAATCTTTTTTTCACCAAATATAGTACATTATGTTTATTACCAGGCAACAGATATACCAAACTGGGTCTGTTTTTATGGGGGTTTTTTGGTCTCAGCCACATGCTGTATATTTCAGTTGAAATGCATATAACAAACAATGGTTAGGCCAAATGAAAAAAATGTTGTGGTTCCGATTACACCTTTTTAAAATTTAGGGTAGGTAGGAAGGATTTCTTTCTACATTTGTTTTTAGAAGTAAGGTACAAACTAATAGCACATTCATCAATATTTAATTGTTTATTCAATCAAGCTGGCGGCCATCATGTTGACTTTCTCAATCAGAATTACCCCGATGTCCATCGGCGCCGGGCAAAACAATGGTATCTATTCATACCACTTAAAAAAAAATAGGGTCGGCATCAGAATTCAAGGGTCGGTCCGGGTAATCAAAACCACAACATTTATTTTTAGGCCTCATAACAAATCTAAAATGAGTGGTTCCTTTTGAGTTGGTTTTAACTAGTGCACTGTAATTCCGTGCAAAATATCACCGAGAGTTAATGCGTCATGACATGGAACATTCTGCTGTGGGACTATATACTGACGAATGAGAGTCATGCTTTCAACTGACATCATGTTAATGTATGCATCACTCAGTGAACTGATCTCTGATCAAGCGTGACTTGAAGCTTCAACAGGTGTTTCCCTTGCGTCTAGACCTAGCATGTCTTTCACATGAAATATTGCTTTTCACCAATCTGATTGCTCCAAATGTTAAATCAGGTTTGGTATATCTGAACATGGTTAAGAAGATCATGCATAAGCTGAAAGTGTTTAGTGAATGTTTGAATGAGTTGTATTCAGTTCTTGATCTCTGTAATGAGATTCCAGTACTTAATACCAGAAGTGGCAGTCTCTCCATCCAGAGTTTCAGTTGTGAAGAGCTATTTCCGTGACTTGCATAGCTTAAAAAATGGTGCCTTTGTTAATAAGCTTGTCTGTCTGTCTGTCTGTCTGTCTGTCTGTCTGTCTCATTGTTTACACATTCAAAAGGGACAATGGGGTAGCCTAGTGGTTAAAGCATTTGCTCATCATGTTGTAGACCTTGGTTCGAGTGAGTTTAGTTTGACTCTGCACTCAGCAATATTCCAGCTGTATGGCGGACCCTGGTTTGATTCCCCACATGGATACAATGTGTGAAGCCCATTACTGATGGTCTTTCCCCCCCCCCCCCTTGATGCTGGAATATTGTGATAGTGCCATAAAACTAAACTCACTCACTCACTCACTCAAATATGCATAACATGTCATTTATTGACATAGAGTTATAATAATGTAGTGCCCTTGATATGTATGTTTTAGGCATTACTTGTCTCACCTGTGTTGTAAACACTGTCTGACATTCTGTGTGCCTGTGTGCTTGTTTAAATCAGTGTGTGTGTGTGTTTGCATGCCTGCATGCCTGTGTATTTGGCGAATCAAACTGTATTCCTTCATGAATTCAATTTGTTATTCGTGATCACTTGAATCAAATATTCAATAATACAAAAAGAGTATTTTTATTTGATTTTGAATTTTGCCTAAGTGAGATGTAAAAAGTGGAATATATCGAAGCCAGACAACAGTAACTTCTGATATTTGTGGTACTTGTATTTGTTACCCTGTGCATGTGCGTGTGTTGATGTGAATTTGTGAGTTTTTGCAAGCTGAAGCTTGAAGCGTGTGCCTGCGTGCATGCAAGAGTGCATGCATGTGCATGTGTGGGTGTGAAGGTGAAGAAGATGGTGTTTTCGTAAGTGTGTTT